CGTCCCGAGCCCTCCGCGGTGCAGGCACCCGCCGTGCCCGTGGCGCCGCCGTTAGGCTGTTACACCGCCGCCACAACGCCGCCCTCTCCGTCTCCCCTCCGGGGCTTCTGTCAGGACCCCAACACCTCCACCACACCCCTGTCGCCTCTGTCACCCCTCCACCATGTCCTCCGTCATGAATCCGCCACCCCCATTGCATCTGTATCCCTGCTGCCACACATCCTCGCTCCTGTCACGTCTCCATCACTGTCAAATGTTCTCCATCGCCTCGGTCACACCTGCAGCCCCTCTATGACCTCCATTATACCCCACCACATGTCCATCACCCCTCAATAACCTCCGTTGCCTCTATCATGCCTCCATCACTTCCTTCACATCTTCATCACCTCCATTGTCACCTCTCCACCACCTCCATCAACCCCCCATCACCTCCATCATCACCCCTCCACCACCTCCATCAACCCCCCATCACCTCTATCGCTCCTCCACCACCTGTCACCCGTCCATCACCTCTGTCACATTGCCTCCGTCACTCTTCCGTCACCTCCCTCACACCTCAATCACCTTCATCAGCCCTCCATCACCTCCCTCCATCTCACGAGCAGAGGCACAGCCGCATTCTCCTCTCACTTTCCCCTTGACTCCATTAAAATCAGCTTTCCCCCGCTCCAAAGCCAGAGGCTGTTTTGCTCATTACTTGGAGGAAGGAGCGGGTGGGGTGCTGGCTCCGTGCGCCAGCTCAGCGGCAGGCTGTGCCGGGGGTGCTAATTAAAACCAAGATGATTAGTATACCCGTTGGTAAAAATAACATGAAAGTGAGCGAGGTCACGGTGTGAAGAATCTCCTTTTCATGAGAGCACCACCGCAAAATTAAAAGTGAGTGTGACGCCATTAAAAAAGCCACTGAATTATTCAGCTTTATGCCCCCATGATGGATGGAGTCAAATATTAACCTTCCCGCACTTATTTTGATTTTATCCCTGTGTGGGGTGAGAGTAGCTCACACCACAGAGCATCCCAGGGCAAGGATTTGGCGAGCAGCACAATTTTCAGCAGCAGTCTGCTGAGTTTTGCTAAGATTCCTGATATTATACCTCTGTTTGAGGGCTTGGCTAAACATTTGTGCCTTGTGAAAATGTGCCTGTGGCAGTTAGAGTGGCTTCCTACCCGGCTGAGATGAAAACTCTGAGGGCTGGTCCCTGCAGGGACGTCACTTCAGGTACACACAGACCCAAATTTCCTATATATTCTCTCTTACTATCTGTATGGGAATTTAATGTTTATTACTTTTTTTTTTTTTTTTTTTAAGGGGAGTTGTGCAATGCCTTGGAAATAATGGTGCTCTGGGAGGGGGAAGCACTGAGCCAGGGATGGCCTGAGATATTCTTCCATAAATCACCTCTCTCAGGGTTCTGAAAGGCTGTTTGCAAGTTATTGATATTTTTTTTTCCAGGGGCAGAAGGGCTAGACCTGATTTTGAATAAAATCCTGGGCTGAGCCGGAGCTCAGCATCACCTCTCCACAGATCCCAGCTGAGCCGTTTGCTTCTTTATATACCCAAGGAGAGGACAAGATCCAGCACCCGTGAGAACTAAAATCTCTCCCCAGTGCAACTGGTGGACAATAAAGGAACAACCAGCTCATGTCCCCGTAGGAAAAAACCCTGATCCAACATATCCACATATGATTTTTAAGGATAATAGAGGTAGATATTTTTCTCCCCCTAGAAAAATCTTTTCCCAGGGGAATATGACCCGCAAGAAACTTAAGGAACATTTGTATACGTCTTTATTGGGTTAGAAATACTGTGTAGTTCATATCCCAGCATACTGATGCATTCCACACAGGTACAAACAAGCAGGAATTGCTGCTCTGTTTGCCGTGAGAATTCACCTTCACACTGGCCCACACAGACTGCAATATAAGGCAGTGCATCTCCTGCAGTCCTCAAGCCCTTGCTCCTTTTACTAGTCTGAATATAGAAACTTATTGCTTGCTAAAGAGAGAAAAATACTACTTAAAAAACAAAAGGCAGCAAATGCATAGTCTGAAAGCTAGAAGTGTTCTACTGTGCCTCTTATTGCTGCTTGTCCCTTATTCTCAGTCCTTTGATTTTTTTCCAGGAGGCTTCTTCTTAGGAGTTTAGCTACTACCTCGATTTGTGAACAGCACTACTTATGGAGGCATGGATATTTATTTTTGTTTTCTAGTAGGCTGTCACCAAGGATTGGTAGAAACACTCAACGATTCATTTCACAAGTTTACATTCAGGGAATTTAGCTGTGCGAGGGTGCACCCAAAATGGGTCCACTTGAGGTGCGTGGTGGTGCAAGGGTAGGTCCTGGCCTCTGCATCACCTCGTGAGCCCTTCAGAAGGCAACTGGAGCAGTGGGAAGAGCCTGTTCCCATCAGCATGAGGAGCCAAAGGCTTTGCACACAGCTCTGCGCAGCGAGATTTAAAGGCTGGGAAAAGGCTGGCCAGGTTTCTCTGGGAGGAACCTGCAGGTTTATTCCTATCTGGTGAGTGAAGGGCATTGCCCACAGTGGCAGGTAGGGTGAGGATACTCACACTGACATCCCACACCACTTCTCCCAGCCCAAAGCATCCTCATCCTCCTCCCCACCACAGGGTTGGAGGTCCCAAAGAGGGATGAGCAGGCTGGACCTCTGGTGAGCTTTTCTGCAGGCAATGGAGCTGGCCAAGGGGGCTGCGAGGAGCCTGACAATGCCAGCTTTATCCCTCCCCGCACTCATCTGTACAAGATGAACAAACCTCCAGTGAAGCAACACAACAAGGGGCTGTGCTGGCTTCTAGAGAGCATTAGCAAAAGGAATCTGAGCATCCGACTCCAAGGGCTGGCTTTCTTGCAGAAGAAAGAGATGCTTCTTATGGAGAGCTCTTCATGGGGGGACGCTTCTTAATCTGGAAGCTGTCGCATTTCTTGTATTTCATTGTCAGTCCATACTGAGGAGTGATGTCCACCTCTGCTCCAGGGCGGAGGCTGAACTCCAGCTGCTGCAGCAGGATGGCCAAGAAGAGGAAGACCTCCCACCGTCCGATGGACTCCCCTATGCATCGCCTCTTCCCCAAGCCAAAAACCAGCACTTTGTCACTCTCCGTCCTGTTTATTTCGGTCCCTGAGGCATTGAGGAATCGCTTGGGGTTGAAGGTCAAAGGGTCCTTCCAAAGCTTCCTGGAGAAGAAAGGAGACACCTGAGGATGCTGTTTTCACCCATTCAGATAGGGATAATTTTAAAAAAAAAAAAAATGCTCACAGAGAGAAGCGTTGCAACGCTTTCTCCCTTCACCATCCAAAAACTTTGGCAACCTCTTATCCCTGATCTAAAATGCCAGCTGTGTGTCAGACCCCATCAGCTCAGTCTACTGAAACCTCTGTTCCAGGCTCAGCTTGTGTTTGCCTGGGCAGATACTGGAGGTGGGTTTAATTCAGCATGCAATAGTTAGAGATCCTGCAATTTCAGCCAAAAACAGAGAGCAGAAATCAGGCAGCAGCTCTTAAAAAAGGAGGGATGGGGAGCTGAGGGTTTTCCCACCTTGAATCCTCCCAGACGAACTTCACAGCCTGTCCCAGCTCAGCTGCTGGGAGGTGCCAGGTGGGATTTTCCAGTGTCTTAGCTGGGAATTTCTGCTGGGTATGGGGAATCCTCTCTGGCCCTAAAGACAGTGTTACCACTGCAACACTCACTGACATATGCAGAAGCAGAAGGAATATTGTAATGTTTCTCTTTGGATACAAACATCTTGAGCTTCTGATCCAAAAGACCTGATCTGGGAAACATCTTCTGTGTCAAGCCTTAGTGAACTTAGTCCCCACCCAGGAGGGTCTCTCCTGGAGAGCAGTAGAGGGGCGAGATGGGGCTTTGGTTTCCAGATCCCCTTTCGTTCACCAAAGCTGATGGTCAGCAATAACAACATGAGCTTATTGAAAGAGTCACGTCAGGATATTTTTCTCCCTGAAAGAGGGAACCAGGCGGTTCCCGTTGAGCACGCCCGGAGCCGACAACCCAGATCACAAGGGCTGCTTGGCAGGAGGATCGACCGATTCCTGATTATTCAGCAGCCCAAGCTGCCAGCCCTCGCACGTCCGTGGAAAGTCCAGTTCATTGAGGATGTGGCCACGTTACTGCACATAAAGTGGGTAAGACCTGGGAGTTGCTGAACTGATCACCAAGTCGACCCAGAGCACCTCCATGCCTAGCAGAGCCAAGGCTGGGCTCAGCATCAAACCCACACAATTTTGGGTCCACTTTGCCTTTTTCTGCCTTCACGCCCCATCTGTTTTTTGGGGTGGGGATTTGGAATACTCACTCGTCATGATTCACTTGCCACTGGTTGATAAACACACAGGTACCCTTGGGGATGTAATAGCCATTCAACACCGTCGCTTTTGTTGTGCTGAAAGAAATCCAGGCAGAGGGGAGGAGAAATTAAGATGAGACCCGCAGCTTCACAGTGAGACAAAGCAATTAGCTGCATAAACAGCAGCTCCCAGAAAACCACTCCGGAAAAAAAAAAAAAACAAAGAATGCATTGGCTGCTCCAGGCCATACCTGTGTGGGATGGTGAAGGGCAGGAAGGAGGAGTGCCTGAACATCTCCAGGATGAAGGCTTCTGTGTAGGGCAGCGTGCTCCGGTCCGACAGCCTCGGTCTCCTCTCCTGCCCAATGGTCTGGTCTGTGGGAGGTGAAGAGGAGAGAGCGGGTTGAGGTCAGCCCTGGCCAGACAGGTTTTGACCCTGGAGGAAGCAGGTCTGTGGACTCACCTAGTTCTTCCTGGATCTTCTTCTGGATGTCGGGGTACAAGGCGACGTACATGAGGCCCCAGGATAAGGCAGTTGTTATGGTATCAAAGCCTGGACATACATGAAAAAGGCATTTTGTTGCCAAAAGAGGACAGGCCAGTGGGTGTTTACAGATCTCATCACTTTGGATGTTTGCCTTGGAGCAATTTCCCCATCAGCTATCACTGAAAAGCCATTTGATCTGGTCACTGCTCAGGAAGCCACCCAAAAGCCCAACAGCAGCTTCAAACACCTAAGTGTGGCCAGGGTGTTACCCCAGCACCTCCAGCTCCCCCACCCAGCCTCCCAGCAGAAAGGCTTTACCCTCAGGAATGTTCTCACCCGCTCCAAAGAGGTCATTGACGATGTTGATGATCTTCTCGTTGGAGAGTGGGACACGGCTATCCTCCCCTACATTATTCTCCTGGCAGTGCTCGATCAGCGAGTCCGTGATGTCCCGGATGTGCCCCTGGGGAAGAGCTGGTAGGTCAGGGTCATCATGGACACCCAGAGTTGGAGAAACCTCCCCCCACCAGTGCCTGCTCATGGGAGGGTTAACTGCAGAATTGAGAGCTCCAAGGAGCTTTCCTAGGCAGAGGTGGGGGACAAGAGAGTACTCTCTTCCCCCCATTACCAGGCAGACAGCATCTCTGAAAGTTGTAGACATCTCTACCCACATCCAAGAGCAGCTACGCTCTTACCTTATCAAAGCTGGTGTAATGCTCCTGAACAATTTTTTGCACAAAGAGGCCAAAACGCCCATTGATGTCTTTAAAGAGCCTCATGGTACGGCTGGGAAGATACTGGAGCACAGGGATGAAGTCAGCAGGGTTGCCAGAAGCAGTCACTTCCCCAAATTCATTGTTGAGGTTCACTACATTGAGTAGCTCTTGGTCATTGTGGTCATAACGCTTGCCGAAGCACATGGCACAGATGACATTGGCCACAGAGACCACCAGGTACTGGTTAAGGTCAAAGCTCTTCTCCTCATCCATCAGCTGCAGGAATTTGGTGACCAGGTAGTCAGCCTCCTTGGAGACATGCTCCTCCAGGAGGCAGGTGGAAGAGGAGGTGGGGCTGGGGGCAATGGAGAAGGTCTTCAGGGCATTCTGGGCCAGCTTTCTGCGGGCTTTCCACACCTCCCCTGAGTCAGGGCTGAAAGCCAGGCTCTGGCCATTCGAAATGTATTGAAAGCTGTGGAGGTCAGGGCGTCCCATGAAGTCTTCTCCTTGCTTCACCAGGGCTTGCTTGATGGTGTCCAGCCCGCTGAGCACCAGGACGGGCCGCATGCCGATCCGCACCTCCATCACGTCCCCATACTTCTGGCTCAGCCTGGTCAGGGCCAGGTGCGTGTCCTTCCTCAGCTCCAGCACGTTGCCGAGGATGGGGTAGCCCCTGGGTCCTGGGGGGCTCTTCAGCCCCTTGGGCACATGCTGCTGGAGGGACTGGATCAGCAGGGAGAGAGGAAGACCTCGGTGGCTGACACAGCGCCTTGGCTTCCCAGCAGTGATATTGCAGCCTTCATTGCTTCCAGCATGCAGGGACCTTAGGAATAGAGCAAAGAGACATTATGAAGAGGGAAGGTCCACGGAGCACCTCTAGGTCGAGACACTCTGCAGGACAGTGGGCAGGGAAGCTGGGCTTAACTTCCAATCCAGAGCTGTGTCGGTTTTCCACACTTTACCCATCTGCTTGCACTTAAAAGCAGTTTTTTTGCTAGCCAGGAGTGAAAGGAACAGGTCCCACAGCTTTTTCTCTGCGTGCCAGGGTAGGAAATGTGCTCTCTTAACTACAGGACCTCTCTTTTCAACCACGAAGCCTTTTGCAGACCATTTGACTATAGGAGAGCTGAATCCTCCCAATCTGAGTCATCGGGTTGCTTGTGCCAAGCCTCCGCTGGCCACCAAACTCAACACGGCGTTGCCACAAACCTTCCTGGCCATGGAAGCCAACCAGGGGTGCAGCACAGGGCCAGCAGGCTGTCGGCACCCGGCTCTGTCAGAAATCCCTCAAAACCCCCGGGCCAGGGGTAGGAAGAGGCTGGGTCTGAATCCCGCGTGCCCTCGGGTTTGGGTGCAGCCCCCCACGGGACACCCAGCTCCCACGGAGCACTCAGTGCACCACAGGCACCCCACAGCCCAGGGGGTGAGCCCAGCTGGGACCCCCTCCCAGCCCATGGAAAGGGAGTGGCCAGCCCAGAGCAAGAGGGGGGGTGGGTCAAGGCGTACACCCAGGACCCCCCTAGAACTCGTCTTCCAACAGCTCTGGGAAGGATGCTCGGGGGGTTTGGGGAGCCAGAGAGGGGGAACGCTGCAGCAGGGCTTTCTGTCCCTGGAGAGGTGTCCCCGGCCCCTCTCCATCCTCCGGGCGGCCCCGGGGGTACTCACCTCGGGTGCGGAGCGGCGCCGGCAGGTACCCCGCTCGCCCTTCGCTCCTGCTTTATATGCATCGCCGCTCGCCCTGATTGGCCCGGCAACCTCCCGTCACGTGACCGAAGCCTAATCAAAGCTGACGTGTGTCCAAACTTCTAAATAACTAACTCGGACACCCCGGACCCCCCTCCCCGCGGTGCCTCCCCGCGACGCGTGGGGTCTG